TTTTAGTTTTGGAATTATTCATTTCTTTTTCCAATAATATTTTGTTTTAATTAAGTATATCATAAGAAAAATAATGCATTATCAGTTTTTCCAATAATAATTCTTTCCTCTTTGAGTCATTTGCTTATTCTGTTATCATTTTCTGTTTTCAAATAGCATATTTCTATTCATCTTCATTTGAAAATTTGATAGTGCATTAAAGAAGTAATAAGAAATAATGGTATTTTAAAATATAAATTTTAATATTTAAAAAAATAATGTTAAATATGCATTGGTTTCACTATATAAATACAGTCGACCACCCCATAACACGGGTTCACATAGTTCGGATTCCTATATGACAGCGAAAAAAATGTGGCAGTATTCATACAAACATACTAAAAAAACTCGTATAATTTGTAAAACATCATCGCCGACTTGTGTTGTGACAGGATTGGTCGAATCTAGACCAATAGCGGATATTGCACAAACTGTTGAGTTTAAACGAGCAGCAGATCTCCTAAACCATTTATTATTTAAAGTCCATAAAAATTATATTTATATTAATGATGGCTCCAAAGTTAAGCGAATTTTTCGCAAAAAAAATAATTTATCAGGAAGCACATGAGCGCCATTCGATGATAAGCTCAACGACGAAAACAAGCTTAAGCAATGGCATCGTCAAACGGTGCACACTTGGTAAGCAATCCTACAATTCTTTGTTTATAGCATAGTTTATATGGATTATTCCCAAAAAATTATACGTATTTTGGAAATGTTGAGTCGAATTAGTCTAGAATCGATTAATTTTATGGAAGAAAACCTTTAAAACAGCTGTAGTCCGTAAACTACATACATGCTGGGCTGTGATTGGCTCATGTATTCAAGGACTCTTAGAACATCAATTTCATAAAGAACGGAACGTATCTACCATGTTATGGGGGGTCGACTATATAATTGGAGCAATTTATATTTACATTTTTAAAATCTTTAGATTTTGGTTTGATATTTTTTATCATTGTTATTGGAAGTATAATATTTATTTTGAATAATTTGAGAAATTAAATCAGAAAGTTATATATTTATCTGTCTTAAATGATAGTCAAAAATAAACCAACTTTTCCAACTTAACAACTGCCACTCACTGGATAATAGTACAGTAAGCACAGCATAAACAATCTTTGTAGATCAAGAACAAAACTGCAATTTTGAAAAAATACACTAACATTTTCTGTCAACACTGATTTTCATCTGGTCATTTATGACCAGATGAAAATCAGTATTGATAGATCTATCATAGATTCTATCATTCAGAAAATCATTCTATGACCAGATGATTTTCATCTGGTCATAGAATGCATCAAAGAACACATTACAAAAGTTTAAAACTAACATATGTCAAAAAATACAGTTAATACTGTATTGTTTCATATACACAGTATATTTTTTCATATTATGTAACAATATATGTTAGTTTAAAATTTTTGTAGTTTGTTCATTGGCACATTCCATTTATAGAATGTAAGTGATCTGATGAAGATCAATATTGATTAAAAACATTATTCAGTATATTTTGTTATTGTTATCGAAACTGTGTTGCTATTTATGTTTGTATACTGGCACAATGAAGTGACCTTCTTTATCAACACTTGGCAAGTTTTCAATCTTTATTCAGTTAGAACGCCATGCTACACATTTGCGTTTCGGGTATTCTCTCCTCTTCAGCTAACTCACTCCAATACAGACACCCAACTAGTACATAGCAGAACTTTAGATGACTTAAAAGTTTTTAATGACGACTACCATAAATGCCGTCTTTTTACACTTTTTTACAATGACACAATCGGTTTTCTTGATTTTTAACACGCAGACAAAGTAATTGATAAATAGTACTAGTTAAAACTGTTACATAAAATCATGCTCTTCGTCTTTGTTCTTCCAAGCATATCCTGTAGGCCATCTTTCCAACACTATCATCTAGTCAGCCAATTTGCATATATCACAATATACCTTGATTTAATGAACTGACAGATCAATTGATAGACATCTATTATCTTGAAAAAAATATATAAAACATTTTTAAAAAAACACATCTATCGTTTAAATTCCACCAGGCGTATTTTGTGAACTACTGTCCTGTTATCCAATTTACATATAACTCAAAATACATTAGTATTACATTTTTAATTAAATACCTTTAATTTAAATTAACTAATCTTTTTTTTTACCATTCTATTAATCTAATACACAACTATTTACAATATCTTCATCCAATTTTCATTAATTTTAACGCTTAGATTTTTGTTTATACAATTTTGATGTTTATTTCTTATTATTTCTACACTTTCTTTGAATTTTCTGTCGTAAGTTCTTTTTTCTTTATGCAAAATCTGTATATTTAATTGATCTATATTGCAGTTATTGGTTACGCAGTGATTGTGAAAAACTGAATTTAGATGACTATATTTTAAATCTGATATATGCTCTTTTACACGTGTTTTTAATGTTCTTTTAGTTTCAACTATATAAAAACTATTGATTTTACAAGTGCAGGTTATTTTGTATACAACATTTTTTATTTCGTTTTTATTTTCTATTTGCTTTTTTGAACGTTGTTTAGCATTTAATCTAGATATTAAATTTTTATAGTTTGGGGCAAGCTTTATATTGTTTTTTTGGAGTTCCTTATTAATTTTTTCATACATATGTTTTGTGTACGGAAAACTTAAGTATTTAATTTTTTGCTTTTCTTCATCTTTTTTAACAGGGAAAGCAATACTATTACAGTGGTACCTCAGGATACGAAATTAATCTGTTCCAAAACTGAGGTCGTATCATGAAAATGTCATAAGGTGAATCATTTTTCCCCATACGATTACATGTAAAACCAAATAATTCGTTCTAACACGAAAAACACACTCAAATTAAAGCTAAGTAGTACATTAAAAAAAAGATAACTATAGTAAGGAAAACACTGAAAAATACGTTTTGTAGTTGTAAATGTATAAATAACCATAATAGAATAATAATTGATTTAAAAAAATGTAGTTTTATTTGCACTTTACTTTTGAGGATAGACGACGGTGGAGGTGTAAACTGGTGGTGGAGGAGAGGGAGAAGGGATATGATACTAAAACTTAACTTACATAACATAATGTAACAATAACTTAAAAATAACTTAGAAAAGATAAAAAAAAATTAGTGTTGTTTTTTATATTTTTTTGTTTTAATTTTTATTTGCTGCTTTTTGCTTTTTTTCCTTCACTTCCACCAGAACTTTCGCTGGCTAGAGGTCGCTCAGTAAAATATCTATCCAAAGAGGTTTGGCTTTGCCTACTTTTTAAAATGTTTCTAAAATTACTTAGGCAAATGTCATTACTCCGAGCGGCAATACGGTTAGTGTGAACCTTTTCGGGATGTTTCTTTTCAATAAAATCGATCACTTTCTGATAATACCTCAAGATTTCCTTTATCGAGCGAGATCCTTCCACGACGAAGCAAACGCGGGACTGAGATCGATGAACAGAAGTGAATAAAAAATGGCGCTGCGAACTAATGTAACGTCGTATGGTGAGTTTTTGTTCGTATCATGGAGCAAAAATATGTTCGAATTTCATGTCGTATCCTGAAAATTTCGTATGCTGGGGCGTTCGTATCCTGAGGTACCACTGTATCTATTTTTTGTTGCCAATCATTAATTAATCTGGTAGGGTATCCATTTAAACTAAATTTTTTGTGTAAGTCATTTATATATTTTCTTTTCTTTCCTTGTTATTTTTTAAAATTAAACCAAACATTAAAAATAATTTTTATTATGATAATAGTAAAAGTATTTACATAGGACATCTTCAAAATAAATATTTTATTTAGACACTTGCTTTTGCCAACATTCATATTACTTAATAAAACAGTGTTGCAGCTTAATCTGCATTACCTTCTTGAGTGCAATTGTCAACACTTTTTGATGTGAAAAGTCTGGTACATTATGATTCTCAACAGTAGATTCTTTTAACAGTGTGTGTTGTACTGACCTTCTGGTGCAAGCACTGCTGTGATGCAGTAATAGAAAAGCATCTTTATCTCTGGCAAAAAAAAAGCTGGATTTTTTTACAATAATGCCCAAGTACATTGTACCAGCTAATCAGTGAATGTCTGACAAAAGCACTAGATCCCTTTACTTCTACAGCTTCCTTATTTATCTGACCTGTTCATGTTGTTACTAAAATGAAAGCTCTACTGAAGGGTCATAGAATTAAATCAGCAGACAAGATGAAAAGTGCTGCAGTGATGGCACTCAAGTAGGTAATATTAGTACACTTAAGGGTTTGTTATATACATTTATAATGCATTAATAGTATGTATGATATGAAATTTTAATTAAAAAACACACATATATATATATGTTTTAACAATTTTTGATAAATTTTTATAAACTGAAGCTTTTCATACTTATATATATATATATATAAAAGTATGAAAACTAACTTAACTAATATAAAACACTGCTTTTATTAAGAGCAAACTGATTTGGAATTTTTTTGAGATTTATTTCTGTTTGCTATAATGACACACAGCTTTTATATTTGTTAAGCTTTATTAGGTTTTTTTTGTTGTAAAGGAAACTAATCTATAGTGTGCATTTTAATATTGCAGTAAATTTTATTAAAAATACACTTTTCTTCCATTTTTTTAAAAACCTAACTTTAGGTATGTAGCTATACATTTTATGTAAATAAATGTATAAACAGAAACAGAAAAAAAAATTTATATTGTATAATTGCCTAACCTGAAAATGATATGATTTTGGTATTTAAAAAGTCTTTCCAATAAAAATTTTACAGTAAAATTAATTATTAAAGTTTACATTGTTGGTTTATGAGTATGTTCAATTTAGGTGAAATTGTAAAGTAAATATTTTATTAATTTCATAAATTACAAAATAATAATATATAGTTTTTGTTTTTATATGGATCTTATAATTTAATTTTTTATTTTACAATTAATTTTTTTCATCTACTCAGAATGAAGTTTTTTGCAACAAATCAAACCTGAAGAGTAATCATTCTCGGAAAAAAAGTTCTAATAAATCTAAAAAGAACGATAAAAAAATAGATCTAGTGACCACTGTTAAAGAAGAAAATATACTAGGTAAACTATGTTTTCATTTGTTTAAAAACTAAACATATATTATCTTAAAATATTGTTTTAATTAATTTTTATCAGTTTCTATTGTATTCTTTTAGAATAATATTAATGTTAAAAGTAAAATATGACTGTTTTACAGTAAAATTTTACAGTAAAAGTCTTGAATGGTAAAAACAAGAAAATATATTTCAGATATATAATCAGAAGAAAATTTATTGTCAAATTACTGTTTTCAGTCATAAGAATACAGCAAAAATGTACTTTACTGTATTCTTATGCTTGAAAACAATGCTTTAAATTTTTCAAAAATATTTACCAGTAAACTCTTTTTTCAGTTTAAATATTATACAAAATTTGTTAATTTAATATTTCTAGATCACAATGAAATCAAACAATGGCTGGATTTAAATTGGACTAATTTTCTGCTACTATTAATAATTATTGTGTAATTAATTAGTCAGTATTTAATTTTTAATACTAGTGCTAAAGTAGCATAATTTAAATTTGACAATTGTTTGGTGTTGTTATAAACTTTTGGGCTTTGAGATGTGTATATATTCAAGATAATAAATAATAATGTGTTAATTTTTTCCATGTTATGATACTTATTATCTTAAAAAATTAACATTAAAAATTTTTTTACTAGAAAAATATGAGTTTCACAGAATGATTAGTAGATTAACTGTACGTGTTTTCATATATTTGTTTTTTTAACTAAACATGTAGTTTAAAGATCCAGATATAAACGTTTTTCAGTTGAGATCATTATTTTAAGAGAAAAATGATAATAGAATTTTTTCCCAGAAAATATTGTTTCTGGCATTGGTTGCACTTTTTTCTGATTTTCTTTTTTGTAGAGTTCTTGTACTGTTGCGATAAAACTGTTTTTGACTGTTTTTAAATTCTTTAGAATGAAAACAATGTATCAATGCATTAAAAATGAAAAAATACAATTTTAAACCCTACAGAAATCAGGAGTATACAAGTTCTCACTATAAAATATCAAGAACAACAAAAATATATTTATCTTGCAGCACAAGTAGAAATATATAAAAATGAATATTAATACATTATTGGCAAAGCTATATAAAATGATCTGTAGATTTGTTAAAATTTTCAAATTAGAAAGTCATTTAAATCTGAAAGAAGTTTAAATTAGAAAGTAACAGTCATATGAAAACATAGAAAAATAAACCTTTAAAATCATTTTTGCAAAAAGAAAACTATTTTGCTTTTAAAAGATGTTTTAAATTAATTAAAATATCTAAAACTGGGGCAGTTGTTTTCATTTAAACTAAAATTTATTTCAGATTTCATTTCATCTTGAAATTAAGAATGAAATTGTTTATTAAGTTGTAATATTGTTTATAGATGATGATGATTAACTAATTTTTCAATCCTATTAGTACTCATATTTTAGTATTAAATTTTTCCTAGAAATAATAATATTTAATATAAAATTATTTTTGATCTGATTTGATAAAAATTATATTCATTGTATCTCTAAGAAAATAGTAAATAATATTTATTGAAGTATAATTTATTTGTCTAAATTTATTATATCTTACATTCTTAATTCATTAATAACATCATGAGGACATTATTAATGTATCAATTTGAGTTTTTTAGTGTTCTGAAAATTAATGAATTTTTAATATGATGGATTATGATATTTAATGTAAGCATTGATTGATTTTTAATATTTATTTATTTTATAGAATCTGGCTTAGAAAATTCAGATACTGATGATACAGAACAATCAGCTACTGGTAGCATAACTGGTAACATTTATGTATCTTCAACAAACAGAGGTACAAAAAGACAGTTTCTGGATGAGATAGGTAAGATTTTTACATAAATATATATGCAATGAAACCCTTTCATTCTTCCATCTGTCTACTTGTATGACTTAACATTTGTATGTTTGTCCTGGAATTTGAACCATAATTGTCCTGTCCAAGTTTGAGTCATAGGGTCAGTGTCATGTTGGTTCTCATTTGCTAAGCATCATTTGTAGTCTCTGTGAAATTTTGTTATTTTATTTTATTTTATACTATACTTGGTTATTTTAAAATAATTTAATTGAAAATAGTTTAAGTGTAATTGTTGGCCAAAAAAGGTTTAAATTAATGATTCAACCAAGCCTAAAAGGAAAGTAGTGAGAATGAGAATTGAATTGAAAAATAATTCATTATGAAATTTGAAAGTAGAATTTGTGTCTTTTACTAGACCATTCAATATGATATGGTGAAATCTACCATATCATCTATATTGAAAAATAAAGTGACTAATGTAACTGAATCAGTGACAGTTCTTTCTGTGAATAGGACCCCTTTAATTGAAAAAATGAAAAAATTTCAGTTAGTCTAGATTAACAAAAAACAATTTACTGGTGACTGTTTCTGAAACAATAATTTATGAAAAAGCAAAGCAGTTTCATGAGACCTTAAGTGAGACATTCCTAGAACCAGTGTCTAAAGTGATGAATTTAAGTCAAGTAGGGAAGTGATTTGATAGGTTTAAGAAGTGAGATGGCTTTCATAGTGTTGTAAGGCATGGGAGGCTGCCAATGCTAACAAACACAATGCGGAAAAGTTTTTTGGGGAATTTAAAAACTTTATAGTAGGTGAGGTATTTACTCCTGACCAAGTTTTTAATTGTGTTGAAAGCTGTTAAAGAACATTTTAAAAAATGTTTTAATATCCTGTGAGTGTTTTTGCCATATTTATAAATGTCATTTTCAGACAGAACCAGAATGAAATAGATTTTCTAAGAAGTTCTTAAATTGAAACAAAAACGGCATTAGCCGCTTAGAACATAACAAGTTTAAAAATAAAGAATTAGATTTAAAATAAGTAACAGTGTTGTGGATGTGTCTTACTGTGTAGAGAATAAGAATGGCATTAGCCATTTAGACCATAATGCAAAACTTAGAATATTAATTTAAATTCACGTAATCTCTTAAATCAGTAAAATTGTTGGCATGACATCCACTCTACGTATTTAAGTTACTTAACAAGATTGTGTTGAAACTGGCCTCTTCTGGAAGAAGATGCCTGTGAAAACCTACATCACAAAAGAGAAGAAATTACTGTTTGAACACGAGGCCATGAAAGACAGGCTTACACTCTTGTTTTGTGCTAATGCTGGTGGGACCTCAAAATTAAACTTTTGCTTGTCTATCACTCTGAAAATTCAAATGTGTTTAAGAATGTTATAATTATAAAAGTAAACTCAGTGTAATGTGGGCTAATAGTAAAGCTTGGCTAACAAGGCAGTTCTTCACTGATCTATGAAGTGTTTGTCTCAAGTGTGAGAAAGTAACTGGGGGAGAAAAATTTATTGCACAAAATCTTCTGGTAAATGAAAAAACTCCTACTTATTCTCCAGGTCTGGAAGATTTGCTCACAACCTTTTATAGAACCTTTTTAAATAAATATTCAGTACATTATCACCTTTAGAATGACTAATGTTTTCAATCCTTTGTTTGGATCTTCATCAAGTCAAGTATTCTAGAATCGGAACATTTTCAGTATCGTTGCAAACAATTTCATAAATATGTTTTTTTTTTTTTTTTAATGTTCAGTTTATCGAATGTTTCTCCAGGTTTAAATTCATTGTGTGACATCATTATTGTAAAGTGTGATTACAAGCAATTTAAACAGATATTGCTTCAAATTTTAATGTTATAAATGCATCAGATTATGGTTTTAATGTAATACCTGCCATGCGTAGGATACTCGTTTTTATTTTTTGAAATGAATACTTCTCCCTTGTTTTTTAGCCATATATATTTCTAGCAGTTCCAAAGCCCTAATGTTTTCTAATTGTTTGGCTCTCCTAATGATTGTGGCATTCTGTAGATAGGCCTGGATTTTGCTGTCTGCAATATAAATGGCTAAGGTAGTGGTGAGCTTGTTGTGGCTGATATTGTACTTATGTTCAGCTAATATAGTAACAGACCAAAGAGTTCCCAGGAATTGGAGTACATCAGTTTCATCACATACACTACAAAAAAACAACATATCAACATGCTTGAAGTAGTGAATGTTGATATGTTGGGACAACATTACCCCCTTTATATTTCATCCACACTGTCAGGAAAGAAATATTCATTTTTCTTGGTTATTATAATTTTAAATTATAATATAATTCATATTTATGTAATACATCAAATAGATGTAATCTTCAATGTAATTTTATAATATAACTTTATTTTGCCAGATTAGTAAAAGAAAGGACTGATGAAGGGCAAATAGCTTGAAATACATTTCCATTCTTTTGGTTAATAAAGTCTGTTTGATCAATTACATAGAAGTTCATGTGTAATAAGTTTTCTGAAGCAATTTTAGACTCAATGTCAACAATTCTTTTTATTATTGGATAAAAGGATACAATAAGAGGAAATATTAAAGATGCAATTGAGTAATGGTGAACCTTAAACTGAAATATAGATGGTTTTTTGATGTATTCTAAATCTTAGAAATTTATTTGGTCTTTATTTGCTTTTTTGTATTAAGATAAAGTATACAAATAAGTCAAAGTCATAGTCATTTCTTGGATACAAGATAAGAATGTTATCATCAAGATGAAAATATTCTAAAGTAGGATATACTGTATATAATAATAGGTATGTTGAATGGTACTGCTATAGTTGTCCTTAGCACAGTTTTGGTTAGAAATGCAGAGAGCATTGAATGCATTAGTATATTTATTTTTTGAAGATAAATTTTTTTGTTGGTATGAAAATAATTGCGAAGTAAATTTGTGTTAAGATCTCTATGACTATAAGTTATTGGTATATTGACATTTTGTTTTATATCATAAGTTCTTTTGTGCACATTACTGTTTCAAAAATGAAATGGAAGAATAGAAAGGAAATACATCAGCTTTACTTAATGAAAAGCTTACCTATATATATTTCCTTTGTTTAATTTGAAATTATATTAATTTTTTATTTTTGTTGCTGTTATAAAAGTTTCCTGTAATCCAAAGAACATTGTTTAGAATTTAAACCTTAAAACATTTATTTGGAACATGTTTTGATATTTTTGTGGTTTGATTTCCAACAAACAGAAGAGGTCAAAAATTAATTGAAAAAAGTAGTTATTGTATATTTTTGTGATAAACTATTTTTTTTTTTTACAATGTTGTTTCTGTAATTTTAATATTTTTGTGGTTTGATTTCCAACAAACAGAAGAGGTCAAAAATTAATTGAAAAAAGTAGAATTTAAACCTTAAAACATTTATTTGGAACATGTTTTGATATTTTTGTGGTTTGATTTCCAACAAACAGAAGAGGTCAAAAATTAATTGAAAAAAGTAGTTATTGTATATTTTTGTGATAAACTATTTTTTTTTTTTACAATGTTGTTTCTGTAATTTTAATATTTTTGTGGTTTGATTTCCAACAAACAGAAGAGGTCAAAAATTAATTGAAAAAAGTAGTTATTGTATATTTTTGTGATAAACTATTTTTTTTTTTTACAATGTTGTTTCTGTAATTTTAATATTTTTGTGGTTTGATTTCCAACAAACAGAAGAGGTCAAAAATTAATTGAAAAAAGTAGTTATTGTATATTTTTGTGATAAACTATTTTTTTTTTTTACAATGTTGTTTCTGTAATTTTAATATTTTTGTGGTTTGATTTCCAACAAACAGAAGAGGTCAAAAATTAATTGAAAAAAGTAGTTATTGTATATTTTTGTGATAAACTATTTTTTTTTTTTACAATGTTGTTTCTGTAATTTTAATATTTTTGTGGTTTGATTTCCAACAAACAGAAGAGGTCAAAAATTAATTGAAAAAAGTAGTTATTGTATATTTTTGTGATAAACTATTTTTTTTTTTTACAATGTTGTTTCTGTAATTTTAATATTTTTGTGGTTTGATTTCCAACAAACAGAAGAGGTCAAAAATTAATTGAAAAAAGTAGTTATTGTATATTTTTGTGATAAACTATTTTTTTTTTTTACAATGTTGTTTCTGTAATTTTAATATTTTTGTGGTTTGATTTCCAACAAACAGAAGAGGTCAAAAATTAATTGAAAAAAGTAGTTATTGTATATTTTTGTGATAAACTATTTTTTTTTTTTACAATGTTGTTTCTGTAATTTTAATATTTTTGTGGTTTGATTTCCAACAAACAGAAGAGGTCAAAAATTAATTGAAAAAAGTAGTTATTGTATATTTTTGTGATAAACTATTTTTTTTTTTTACAATGTTGTTTCTGTAATTTTAATATTTTTGTGGTTTGATTTCCAACAAACAGAAGAGGTCAAAAATTAATTGAAAAAAGTAGTTATTGTATATTTTTGTGATAAACTATTTTTTTTTTTTACAATGTTGTTTCTGTAATTTTAATATTTTTGTGGTTTGATTTCCAACAAACAGAAGAGGTCAAAAATTAATTGAAAAAAGTAGTTATTGTATATTTTTGTGATAAACTATTTTTTTTTTTTACAATGTTGTTTCTGTAATTTTAATATTTTTGTGGTTTGATTTCCAACAAACAGAAGAGGTCAAAAATTAATTGAAAAAAGTAGTTATTGTATATTTTTGTGATAAACTATTTTTTTTTTTTACAATGTTGTTTCTGTAATTTTAATATTTTTGTGGTTTGATTTCCAACAAACAGAAGAGGTCAAAAATTAATTGAAAAAAGTAGTTATTGTATATTTTTGTGATAAACTATTTTTTTTTTTTACAATGTTGTTTCTGTAATTTTAATATTTTTGTGGTTTGATTTCCAACAAACAGAAGAGGTCAAAAATTAATTGAAAAAAGTAGTTATTGTATATTTTTGTGATAAACTATTTTTTTTTTTTACAATGTTGTTTCTGTAATTTTAATATTTTTGTGGTTTGATTTCCAACAAACAGAAGAGGTCAAAAATTAATTGAAAAAAGTAGTTATTGTATATTTTTGTGATAAACTATTTTTTTTTTTTACAATGTTGTTTCTGTAATTTTAATATTTTTGTGGTTTGATTTCCAACAAACAGAAGAGGTCAAAAATTAATTGAAAAAAGTAGTTATTGTATATTTTTGTGATAAACTATTTTTTTTTTTTACAATGTTGTTTCTGTAATTTTAATATTTTTGTGGTTTGATTTCCAACAAACAGAAGAGGTCAAAAATTAATTGAAAAAAGTAGTTATTGTATATTTTTGTGATAAACTATTTTTTTTTTTTACAATGTTGTTTCTGTAATTTTAATATTTTTGTGGTTTGATTTCCAACAAACAGAAGAGGTCAAAAATTAATTGAAAAAAGTAGTTATTGTATATTTTTGTGATAAACTATTTTTTTTTTTTACAATGTTGTTTCTGTAATTTTAATATTTTTGTGGTTTGATTTCCAACAAACAGAAGAGGTCAAAAATTAATTGAAAAAAGTAGTTATTGTATATTTTTGTGATAAACTATTTTTTTTTTTTACAATGTTGTTTCTGTAATTTTAATATTTTTGTGGTTTGATTTCCAACAAACAGAAGAGGTCAAAAATTAATTGAAAAAAGTAGTTATTGTATATTTTTGTGATAAACTATTTTTTTTTTTTACAATGTTGTTTCTGTAATTTTAATATTTTTGTGGTTTGATTTCCAACAAACAGAAGAGGTCAAAAATTAATTGAAAAAAGTAGTTATTGTATATTTTTGTGATAAACTATTTTTTTTTTTTACAATGTTGTTTCTGTAATTTTAATATTTTTGTGGTTTGATTTCCAACAAACAGAAGAGGTCAAAAATTAATTGAAAAAAGTAGTTATTGTATATTTTTGTGATAAACTATTTTTTTTTTTTACAATGTTGTTTCTGTAATTTTAATATTTTTGTGGTTTGATTTCCAACAAACAGAAGAGGTCAAAAATTAATTGAAAAAAGTAGTTATTGTATATTTTTGTGATAAACTATTTTTTTTTTTTACAATGTTGTTTCTGTAATTTTAATATTTTTGTGGTTTGATTTCCAACAAACAGAAGAGGTCAAAAATTAATTGAAAAAAGTAGTTATTGTATATTTTTGTGATAAACTATTTTTTTTTTTTACAATGTTGTTTCTGTAATTTTAATATTTTTGTGGTTTGATTTCCAACAAACAGAAGAGGTCAAAAATTAATTGAAAAAAGTAGTTATTGTATATTTTTGTGATAAACTATTTTTTTTTTTTACAATGTTGTTTCTGTAATTTTAATATTTTTGTGGTTTGATTTCCAACAAACAGAAGAGGTCAAAAATTAATTGAAAAAAGTAGTTATTGTATATTTTTGTGATAAACTATTTTTTTTTTTTACAATGTTGTTTCTGTAATTTTAATATTTTTGTGGTTTGATTTCCAACAAACAGAAGAGGTCAAAAATTAATTGAAAAAAGTAGTTATTGTATATTTTTGTGATAAACTATTTTTTTTTTTTACAATGTTGTTTCTGTAATTTTAATATTTTTGTGGTTTGATTTCCAACAAACAGAAGAGGTCAAAAATTAATTGAAAAAAGTAGTTATTGTATATTTTTGTGATAAACTATTTTTTTTTTTTACAATGTTGTTTCTGTAATTTTAATATTTTTGTGGTTTGATTTCCAACAAACAGAAGAGGTCAAAAATTAATTGAAAAAAGTAGTTATTGTATATTTTTGTGATAAACTATTTTTTTTTTTTACAATGTTGTTTCTGTAATTTTAATATTTTTGTGGTTTGATTTCCAACAAACAGAAGAGGTCAAAAATTAATTGAAAAAAGTAGTTATTGTATATTTTTGTGATAAACTATTTTTTTTTTTTACAATGTTGTTTCTGTAATTTTAATATTTTTGTGGTTTGATTTCCAACAAACAGAAGAGGTCAAAAATTAATTGAAAAAAGTAGTTATTGTATATTTTTGTGATAAACTATTTTTTTTTTTTACAATGTTGTTTCTGTAATTTTAATATTTTTGTGGTTTGATTTCCAACAAACAGAAGAGGTCAAAAATTAATTGAAAAAAGTAGTTATTGTATATTTTTGTGATAAACTATTTTTTTTTTTTACAATGTTGTTTCTGTAATTTTAATATTTTTGTGGTTTGATTTCCAACAAACAGAAGAGGTCAAAAATTAATTGAAAAAAGTAGTTATTGTATATTTTTGTGATAAACTATTTTTTTTTTTTACAATGTTGTTTCTGTAATTTTAATATTTTTGTGGTTTGATTTCCAACAAACAGAAGAGGTCAAAAATTAATTGAAAAAAGTAGTTATTGTATATTTTTGTGATAAACTATTTTTTTTTTTTACAATGTTGTTTCTGTAATTTTAATATTTTTGTGGTTTGATTTCCAACAAACAGAAGAGGTCAAAAATTAATTGAAAAAAGTAGTTATTGTATATTTTTGTGATAAACTATTTTTTTTTTTTACAATGTTGTTTCTGTAATTTTAATATTTTTGTGGTTTGATTTCCAACAAACAGAAGAGGTCAAAAATTAATTGAAAAAAGTAGTTATTGTATATTTTTGTGATAAACTATTTTTTTTTTTTACAATGTTGTTTCTGTAATTTTAATATTTTTGTGGTTTGATTTCCAACAAACAGAAGAGGTCAAAAATTAATTGAAAAAAGTAGTTATTGTATATTTTTGTGATAAACTATTTTTTTTTTTTACAATGTTGTTTCTGTAATTTTAATATTTTTGTGGTTTGATTTCCAACAAACAGAAGAGGTCAAAAATTAATTGAAAAAAGTAGTTATTGTATATTTTTGTGATAAACTATTTTTTTTTTTTACAATGTTGTTTCTGTAATTTTAATATTTTTGTGGTTTGATTTCCAACAAACAGAAGAGGTCAAAAATTAATTGAAAAAAGTAGTTATTGTATATTTTTGTGATAAACTATTTTTTTTTTTTACAATGTTGTTTCTGTAATTTTAATATTTTTGTGGTTTGATTTCCAACAAACAGAAGAGGTCAAAAATTAATTGAAAAAAGTAGTTATTGTATATTTTTGTGATAAACTATTTTTTTTTTTTACAATGTTGTTTCTGTAATTTTAATATTTTTGTGGTTTGATTTCCAACAAACAGAAGAGGTCAAAAATTAATTGAAAAAAGTAGTTATTGTATATTTTTGTGATAAACTATTTTTTTTTTTTACAATGTTGTTTCTGTAATTTTAATATTTTTGTGGTTTGATTTCCAACAAACAGAAGAGGTCAAAAATTAATTGAAAAAAGTAGTTATTGTATATTTTTGTGATAAACTATTTTTTTTTTTTACAATGTTGTTTCTGTAATTTTAATATTTTTGTGGTTTGATTTCCAACAAACAGAAGAGGTCAAAAATTAATTGAAAAAAGTAGTTATTGTATATTTTTGTGATAAACTATTTTTTTTTTTTACAATGTTGTTTCTGTAATTTTAATATTTTTGTGGTTTGATTTCCAACAAACAGAAGAGGTCAAAAATTAATTGAAAAAAGTAGTTATTGTATATTTTTGTGATAAACTATTTTTTTTTTTTACAATGTTGTTTCTGTAATTTTAATATTTTTGTGGTTTGATTTCCAACAAACAGAAGAGGTCAAAAATTAATTGAAAAAAGTAGTTATTGTATATTTTTGTGATAAACTATTTTTTTTTTTTACAATGTTGTTTCTGTAATTTTAATATTTTTGTGGTTTGATTTCCAACAAACAGAAGAGGTCAAAAATTAATTGAAAAAAGTAGTTATTGTATATTTTTGTGATAAACTATTTTTTTTTTTTACAATGTTNTGTTCTGGAGTTTTTAGTATTTCAAACTCAAAGTTATAAATTTTCTTTTATTTTATTGTTAAATTGAAACGCGATTTTTAGATTACATTTTATCATATATTTAGTTTAATTTATTTATTATACATAAAAGTTGTAATAAGTTCAAATTCAAACGAATTTCGAACGAATGATTCCATTACAACGAAAACTATTAAAACCTGAAGATGGCCTATACGAATTGGCCAAAAACGTTTGGAATAAACAAAAATACCTCGGCAAAAAATTCAGGTGTGTGTGATTTATTATTATAAATAGATAGCATTGCTGAGAAGGTAGATAGATTGTTTGTTCATTATGTAACTTTATGCAATGTGCAGTATATACTTCAGTTTACAAGTGAATTAAATTTTTATTTAACAATATTTTTATAAATAGATTTTTAACATTTATTATATTTAGAAAATTACTAAATCAGATAACATTTTTTTTCTTCTTTTCAGATGGTCCACAAAAAAAGAAAAGAATATTACCAGATGAAAAGGATATACGCATTCCATTAGAATATGGGTACAATTTTATTTTCATTGCTTATAAATATTTATGTCATGTGAAAAAATTAGGAACTATAATTAGATTTATTTTTAAAATCGAACGTTAATCACTATAAAAAATTTAATAATAATAATTTTTTATGCTGTAAATATGGAAAGAGAGAAATCACGTAAACTTGTGAACAATAATATGTAAAGTCAAGTTTATATGGTTATTTAGCTATATTTTAAAAAGTAGTAAGATTTTACAATATACAAATAAATGTCTTTTTGTCTTAATAATGTCTAATAATAATAGTAAATGTCTTTTGAGGATATTTTTTTTTAAATTGGATTAAATTTTTTCAATATTTCTTAATATTCCTCTAAAGTATATTTATTTGTGAGTGATCTTGATAAATATAGTTATTTTATTATTATTATTAATAGATAGCTAATTTTCAATTTGTATTTTAAAAGAATCAATAGAAAGCAGTTTCAGCAATTATTTTATGACCTACCTATTGTTGAAATAAATTATTTTAAGAAATTAACAAATTATTTAATTTAGTTGATGTTTTAGTTAGTACATGGAGATTAATCCCAGAGGTTTATCAAGAGGTTCTGAGAGTTGCTGCTTTTGAGAATTGAGAATTTGTTATCTGTCTATATTACTATTTTTGTGCAAATACCTTGCTCTATCTTTTCACAATTATATTAGTCATTCACATGTACTATGCTGAATTTTACTGAAGATATGTCTTAGATTTGCTGCATTACATTATTTATTTTTTTTAATTTTCACTTTTTCAATAAGATATTAATATGAAAATTATTCAGCAATAATTAAAGTCAACTTGCATTATTAGTTAGTTTGCATGCATTTTGAAAAACATGAATGAATCATAATATTAAAAAAGAAAAAATGTAAAAGCAATACTTAATTGCACATTTCATCTTTCTAATAAAAATATGGAATATATGCTAAAAGTTGTTTTTGACTCATTATTACTTTTTAATTGATATTTAGCTTTTGATTTTTCTTGCTTTAAGAAAGTATTCAAGTATAGTTAATATATGATCTGTGTATTATAACTGCTGCTATGACTTCTGTTGACAGAACAATTGGGTATAGTGAAGATGGTTCAAAAGAAACTTTGCACCACTGCTTTATCTTTCAAATATAGATGGACTATATTGTGTTGGAATGAAAGAATTATATTAATGTGCATTCTTCATGTTTGGACCTTGATTAACTATAAATGAACTTCCAATGCAAACCAGAAGTCATGTTATTTCAATTCAAAAATTTTCCCCAAAGGTATTAGATAGATGACTGGCACAACTCTATTGTTAAAGGAAAAGTGTGATGTACAGGGGCAAGACACTAGTAATTTGAGATGGAGAGCATATATTTTAAATGAAATAAATTAAAAATATGATTAAAAATTACAGCTTGGCATTGTGATGATGTTACAATAAATAATTGTTCATTAGTATTAGATATTTTCAAAAGTAAAAACTATCACAAAACTTCAAAACATTATTGAACTTGTTTTTGAAAAACTATTTTAAAAAAATTGTTTATAAATTTTCATTTATTGAGTATTTCTGTTTTATGATAAGAATTAGTTTTTATATTGAAAATAACATATAATATCAGTATAATTTTAGTATAAATAATATATCATTTCTTGAAGGAAATTTATGATTGAATGGAAAAGTTTTAAAAGTATTATAACCACAATACACCTTAAGTTGCTGAGAAATTTATTAAAAAATGCAAATAATGTTTTCAGCCAAATCTATTGGCCATCCTCAGGTTAAAAGAGAAAAATAAACATATTCTAAAATATATAAATTTGAATATAAATACAATGGAAGAAATTTAAATACAAAATTAATGGAAGAAATATAACATAAAATGTTGCATGCAGAAATTTTTTATACATGTATAAAAAATTAAAATATTATAACAAACTATACATACAGTATATAAATACACGTATAAGATAAATAAAATTAAATAACAAAGTATTACAACATTATATAATAATATCGTATATAATATACAAAAAAAATGCAAGAAATGCATAAACAAAAAATAAAGGCATAAATTATGAGCTTTCAAACTTTTTAATTAAGTACTTCCACACAGATGGTAACCCTTCAGCATCCTTAGCATCATTCAGCTTGCATTTATAAATTTCAATCTTTTCTGTGCTCATCACTAAAGTCGGAGCGTGCACAGGCTTAACAATATTTGCTTCCTCCCGTTTTACTATGGGGCCATCAGCCTGCGCTACCTGAGATAGTATTGTGGCATTGGATCCCTTACTGGCATTGTATTTGTGCTCTCTCAGTCTGACTCCCGAATTTCTTGTAGTAACACCAATGTAGTTTTTCTCAGCAACTTAAGGTGTTGTATTGTGGTTTGCACTTTGCTGAGTGAGTTTATTTGAATATTTAAAAGTATTAGGTTGTTTGGAAAGTAATTTCGTTTTTTTACCTCTAGACGGATTAGTGGTATTTTTCCTGCTATTTTTATTCTAAACCATATTATCGTTATATATTTTGAAAGCTAGCATTTTAAGGCTTATATGTAAAAAATTTTGTTTGATTTTGTGCAATTTTTATTTTTTGTGTCCCATCAAATATGGAAGATTGAAAGCAGCATTTTCGGCATATTTTGCTCTTTTATTACTGAAAAGGTAAGAATGCTGTTCAAGTGAGAAAAAAGTTGTGAGACATGTATGGAGAAGATGTATTGACAGGACGACTGGTTTACGAAATTTCATTCTTGCCAAAACTGGTTTACAAAATTTCGTTCTGGCAATTTCAATATTGAAGATGCACCACGTTCCGTATGGGCAGTTGAAGCCAGTGAAAACAAAATAAAGGTACTGATTGAAGCAAACTGCCGAATAACAACACGTGAAATCGCTAAGAGATTAAATTTGTCAAATTGAACTGTTTATGATTACTTGAAACGAATTGGTTTTGTTTCAAAGCTTGATATACGCGTTCCACATGTTCTTAAGGTGATATGCTATCTTTGGTGGGATTTTAAGGAAATTTTTTTTTTTGGAGCTTTTACCAGACAATTTAACAATTGATTCAAAAGTGTACTGCCATCAAGTAAACAAATTGAGTAATATCATCAAACAGAAAAGGCGGCCAGAATTGATCAACAAAACAGGTGTAGTGTTTTACCATGNAAAGAATCAATAGAAAGCAGTTTCAGCAATTATTTTATGACCTACCTATTGTTGAAATAAATTATTTTAAGAAATTAACAAATTATTTAATTTAGTTGATGTTTTAGTTAGTACATGGAGATTAATCCCAGAGGTTTATCAAGAGGTTCTGAGAGTTGCTGCTTTTGAGAATTGAGAATTTGTTATCTGTCTATATTACTATTTTTGTGCAAATACCTTGCTCTATCTTTTCACAATTATATTAGTCATTCACATGTACTATGCTGAATTTTACTGAAGATATGTCTTAGATTTGCTGCATTACATTATTTATTTTTTTAATTTTCACTTTTTCAATAAGATATTAATATGAAAATTATTCAGCAATAATTAAAGTCAACTTGCATTATTAGTTAGTTTGCATGCATTTTGAAAAACATGAATGAATCATAATATTAAAAAAGAAAAAATGTAAAAGCAATACTTAATTGCACATTTCATCTTTCTAATAAAAATATGGAATATATGCTAAAAGTTGTTTTTGACTCATTATTACTTTTTAATTGATATTTAGCTTTTGATTTTTCTTGCTTTAAGAAAGTATTCAAGTATAGTTAATATATGATCTGTGTATTATAACTGCTGCTATGACTTCTGTTGACAGAACAATTGGGTATAGTGAAGATGGTTCAAAAGAAACTTTGCACCACTGCTTTATCTTTCAAATATAGATGGACTATATTGTGTTGGAATGAAAGAATTATATTAATGTGCATTCTTCATGTTTGGACCTTGATTAACTATAAATGAACTTCCAATGCAAACCAGAAGTCATGTTATTTCAATTCAAAAATTTTCCCCAAAGGTATTAGATAGATGACTGGCACAACTCTATTGTTAAAGGAAAAGTGTGATGTACAGGGGCAAGACACTAGTAATTTGAGATGGAGAGCATATATTTTAAATGAAATAAATTAAAAATATGATTAAAAATTACAGCTTGGCATTGTGATGATGTTACAATAAATAATTGTTCATTAGTATTAGATATTTTCAAAAGTAAAAACTATCACAAAACTTCAAAACATTATTGAACTTGTTTTTGAAAAACTATTTTAAAAAAATTGTTTATAAATTTTCATTTATTGAGTATTTCTGTTTTATGATAAGAATTAGTTTTTATATTGAAAATAACATATAATATCAGTATAATTTTAGTATAAATAATATATCATTTCTTGAAGGAAATTTATGATTGAATGGAAAAGTTTTAAAAGTATTATAACCACAATACACCTTAAGTTGCTGAGAAATTTATTAAAAAATGCAAATAATGTTTTCAGCCAAATCTATTGGCCATCCTCAGGTTAAAAGAGAAAAATAAACATATTCTAAAATATATAAATTTGAATATAAATACAATGGAAGAAATTTAAATACAAAATTAATGGAAGAAATATAACATAAAATGTTGCATGCAGAAATTTTTTATACATGTATAAAAAATTAAAATATTATAACAAACTATACATACAGTATATAAATACACGTATAAGATAAATAAAATTAAATAACAAAGTATTACAACATTATATAATAATATCGTATATAATATACAAAAAAAATGCAAGAAATGCATAAACAAAAAATAAAGGCATAAATTATGAGCTTTCAAACTTTTTAATTAAGTACTTCCACACAGATGGTAACCCTTCAGCATCCTTAGCATCATTCAGCTTGCATTTATAAATTTCAATCTTTTCTGTGCTCATCACTAAAGTCGGAGCGTGCACAGGCTTAACAATATTTGCTTCCTCCCGTTTTACTATGGGGCCATCAGCCTGCGCTACCTGAGATAGTATTGTGGCATTGGATCCCTTACTGGCATTGTATTTGTGCTCTCTCAGTCTGACTCCCGAATTTCTTGTAGTAACACCAATGTAGTTTTTCTCAGCAACTTAAGGTGTTGTATTGTGGTTTGCACTTTGCTGAGTGNAGTCTCAAAGCAACAACAATGACACCTGATTGATAGGAAAGCTAGAACAAGGGAGAACAAAATTCTACTATCAGTTTTTATTGAAGTAAACCCGACCAAAGGCACAAAAGAAATTGAAAATTTCAATATTCTGAAATCTGTGGGCAAATTTGAGATGCTTGCTTAAATAAAAAAATCAAATAACAGGGTTTGCGCTTAAAAATTGTGAAATTTTGTACAGAGGAATTTGAAAATTGTGTTAGTGCAAAACTAGAAACAGCATTATTTGTGGATATCCCCTAATTTTTGAACCATGTTAGAGCAAAACTGTGTTGTAGAAGTTCTGTATTGTATCAGGGATACCTATATTTATTTTATATATAATATAATTATTTAAATATAAATAAATATATATATATTTTTAAAACAGATATTTGCAATAACTATATTTTTGCAAAATTGATAGTAGTAAAGAAAACTAAAGAGAAGAGAATTAAATACTATGGAAACTTGATTTTCCAAATTTGATGGGACCAGAAGTTTTTGCATAAACAAAATTTCAGATAATCTAGAAAGTTTTTTTTTTTGTGTTTTGGGTATATTGTGAAATTTGCGAATTTAACACATTTGTCAGAAATTTAATTGTAAATGGCTCTCTGATAGAAAAAACTCTCTTCACGAGAATCAGATCGGAGGTCACTGGTTGTAACAACAAGTCAGTGGGAAAGTTGGCAGTTAGCTGTCAAGAATGCATCATCATCGTTAACAATGGACAATCATGTGACCCCTTTCCCACGACAGTTGTATAAAAGTGAGACCCCCAAAAGCTTGGAAGTTGTATTTGGTAATAGTGCCTTTCCATCTGCACATCCACGCAATGGACCCGATTCAGTGCTGGTAGAGGACACCGACTCCTTGCGCTTCCATATAGAACTGTGTATCACCACATATAGCTCTTCATCCACATTACAGGTAATTATTAGCGGACATTAGACTTTGTCACCGTATGCTAACTGCATTTAGTCGTATATCACCCGTATCTGTATCTAACTATGCATAGCCTCTTGTATCTTATAGTTAGTCATATAATAAATGCTTTGTTTATTTGTTAACCCAGTGTTTTTTAACCTTTTTCATTGACTGGCACTCCGATTGAAAAATAAAAAATCGTGACACCCTTGACCAGCGGTGGATCTAGAATCTGAATAAGGGGGGACTAATGGGCCAGATGGATTTTTTGCAAAAACAAATATTAACTGCAATGCTGAGATGGGGTCCAGGGAGGGGACTCCCTCCCCGGGAAGAAAAATTTTAAAAATTGACAGTTTGAAGTAGCATTTTAATGCCAAAAAAAAAGCGTTCTACGTGTTCAAAATCAAAATTTAAGTCTATTGAATTTTGTCAAAATACCTACATGTAAAATAATAGTCTCGCTATTGTTTTTTAAATCTTGTTTTATTATCAAATAGTTATCATTTTATGTTATCATTTTATTGATAAACAATATTTGTTAAGCCTTTTTATACTATTTTGATTCATATATAAAATAAATTGGCGACGTCAGACAAAAATACGATGCTTTAGCCGATCCGGTGTTAGAGGTGAAGTCACTTATTTTGCACCGTGTGGAAAGAAACTTCGAAATTATCCAGAAGTAGTTAGGGTATGTTAAAATTTTTTAATATTAATTTTACCTAAATTAATTTTGGTTGTTGTTCAAGGAAAAATTAATTTTTTTAACATATGGCTATCCCTTGTATAACACAGTAGTAGCATTATAAAAACGTGCTGTGTTATGCAAATTTTGTTGCTATACAAAACAAAGGACTAATGCAAAATATGGGGTTAGATTCCAAAGGTAGCAAACATATACTATTCTTTTTCATTAGTAAGAAAAATATATTTATTAATGCAGTTGATAATTTATTTTCAATCAATAATTAACTAACAATCACAACTAAAAGTACTGTATGAATGTTTAATAGAGAGGTTGCGGCCGACGTTTTCGCGATGAAAACGTCTGTTGCAACCTCTACAGTACAGTGTATGTCGGACATTCAGCGCTGCCTTCCTGTAAGCCTAAAAGTTTGACAATGGCGGTTCCAAATGCCATTGTCAAACTTCTAGGCTTACGGGAAGGTGGCACTGAACGTCCAACGTACACGTTTTCACGATGAAAACGTCGGCCGCAATCTCTCTAATATTAATTTTGGTTAAACTAGGACATTTTCTTTTTACAAAGTATCATCATCTGCTTAGCTTTTTTTGTTGATCTTGATCAGAAATATCAGCAACATCTTCATTTCTTATTATTTTTATCATAATTTTTGTATGGATGACAAAATTAAAACAAGTTATTAATCAAAAATTTGTTCTATAGGGTTGTGTTTGTTCAATAGAGTACCAAGAAATTTTTTATTCCAGAATTTGCATTTGAATAACAAATTGTTTGAGTTGGGAACAGTTTGAATATTTCTATATATTTTTTTTTTTTTTATGAATGATTACTTATCTACAGTTAAAACATAGTTTAATAACACTTACCTAAAAATGTTTAATCTTTGTGTTTAGTAAAGTTTATTTAATCTATAAAAAGAAAATACAGTGACTTTCTTAATGGCTAAAGTCTCAAAGCAACAACAATGACACCTGATTGATAGGAAAGCTAGAACAAGGGAGAACAAAATTCTACTATCAGTTTTTATTGAAGTAAACCCGACCAAAGGCACAAAAGAAATTGAAAATTTCAATATTCTGAAATCTGTGGGCAAATTTGAGATGCTTGCTTAAATAAAAAAATCAAATAACAGGGTTTGCGCTTAAAAATTGTGAAATTTTGTACAGAGGAATTTGAAAATTGTGTTAGTGCAAAACTAGAAACAGCATTATTTGTGGATATCCCCTAATTTTTGAACCATGTTAGAGCAAAACTGTGTTGTAGAAGTTCTGTATTGTATCAGGGATACCTATATTTATTTTATATAGAAACAAAGTTAACAAAAATATTTAAATCTATAAAGAATCTTTTTCAAAATACCAATTTGTAGGAAAGATAAATTGAGTGATTTTGATTAAAATGATAACAATTTATAACGATAGAAAGTTGACAAGGATAAATTTTGTCTTAAAAATATCCTTTTACATAGAGATGAAATAGGGAAAGAAAAATATAAGTACGATTTTTGATATTCGAAAAATCAGATTTATATAGAAAAGGTCACGAAAATAACTTATTTAAAATACTATTTTTTTTTCAGAAATATTGCACACATTTTGAACTTTGAAATTCTTAAGATGGTAGGAAGAAAAAGGAAAGATTTGTCATTAATACATTAATGTATACAGAGAACAGATGATAAAGGGTGACATAAATATTCAAAATTATGATTTATATAGATAAAAGGATAATAATAATAATAATAATTTCTGTTCAAATTATGAGAATGATTTATCACNCAATGCAACACTTATTAAAGTATATACAAGACACAAGTGTCCACATTGTTCTTTTCCGCTGGTTGGCCTGGTACTAGGACTGGGAATGTGAAGGCCAAGCAATGTGTATGTGACAAGTCGGGCATACACATAGCGTAGAACATTACATTAACATGCGATTAGTCATGATTTCTTTGCTTACTAGGTATCTTTTAACAAAATAGAACTGACAATGAGTTATCTTGAAGTACACTTAATTAAATTTCCAAGAAAATGCCTAAAGGCCCTAAACTTTGCAACACCCCAATCGTGGCACCTCGGTTGAAAAACACTGTGTTAACCTGTCAACCTGAATTTCTCAGTACACGGACACCTATAGACTTACCCATTGACCTCCCCGCTTGCTTTTGCCCTCCTATTGCCATCTAATGACACCAAGGTCAGGTTTTAATAACCCATGCCAATTAAGTGGTAATAGGGCACCCCCTATAGCCCTTGGTTTATCTCACAATATCAAGCACTGTGCATTTAATGTTTCATGAACTGTAACTACTGTAATGCAATTACTGTATTTGAAGATAAATTAATTTACTCAATATTTAACATAATGTTACATATATGATCTAGTTAAGCAGTGCTACTATTGACAATGATGTAGTGATTTCCAGTTACATGTAAAGTTTTGTCTCTGTATTATATTCACTCTACATTATGTGAACTGCTACACATTCTGTATTGCTTTTTGAAAATCATTTTAGGTAATTCAGTTTCTACTGTATAAACATGTAAACAGTAAAGAATAAAAAGATATGAAAGCAGTTGTATTGACCATCTATGAATACATTTTTACATTTCCCTCAGAATCTTTCTACAAAAGTGATCTGCACCAAAATTTATCTGTGTATTATACATGTGTGAATAAAAAGATTTGTGAAGTTTCAAGTTGATACAATTTTAACATATTCAAATTTTTAATTAAAAACTTGTTTTTACATTCAACATTTTGGTGAGAAAATCTTTTTCTAAATTGAAAATTATGCTTTCTACCAGTTCAGGATTTCAAATGAGAGGATAAAATTTAAAAAGATCAGTAAATACCATTAAAATTATTTTTTAAAAATAGTAAACAAACTTTTTTTTCTAATACAAATAAACTGTTAAATTTAGACTGGGAGAGAAAGGTGAATGATATGAACAGAAGCTTTATCTCCCAAATCTATCAGTATGTGTTCATAATTTCTAAAACAAAACTATTTCTTTTCCTCTTCATTATCATCAATTTTCATTATACTTCACTGGATTTTGAAGAAATATTTGAAAACAGCTGGTATTAAACCTGAATAGAATCTTATTTGTTCAGCAGGTAACATTAATGTATACAAGATTGTTCTAGTAATTAATACATTGACTTTTAATTATATACTGTACAACTGTAGCCTACAACATTAGAATTGTTTAATCAATCATTATTTAGTTTGTGCTTATTTCATTGTGTTATCAATCTTAAGATACTTGTAAAAAAGAAAATGAATTTCATTTTATTGAAATTAGTATGTGTTGTTACTTAAAACTTAAGAATTGTCAACATCACTGTATCATTGGCATGTAATCAAGTTTTCATTTTTGCACACTTTTGATCTTTACTTTGAATAAATCAATAATTAAAAACAACTTTCTGTATATAAAATAAGTTACTATTAATATTACATAAACTATAATTCTATGCAGTTTTATTTAACATTATTTTTTAACTTTATATATTTTTATGATTATGATAAATTTTTTCCAACTCTTTAAATTTAGTTTCTTATTCATTTAGGAAATATCACATATAAATTTATGAGAAAATTGGACACTTTTGGAATATTTATCCATTACCAGAATATACTTGGAGCATAAAACAATTATTTGTTTTATATGATAGTATAAAACAAATAATTGCAATTGAAGTGGTAAGAAATAAAAAACTGAAATCAGTATTTGACTGGTATTGAATCATATTAATGCTTATTCTTAATTCCATAAGCCATTTTTCTAAGTTGTGATCACTTTTTTCTTGGAAATTTCTAGAGACAATGTAGTGATATTGTCATTAATTATACTAATTGAAAAGCAGAAAGTTTCTGGAATTGCTTGATAAAAATTTATTGTCGTATTTTATTTTATTTTTATAGTATCATCATCATTCACAGTTTTCCACTTCTGAAAATATTGATAAAAATTTTTTACCTCTATCCATCTCATTCAGAAACTTGATTTTTTAGCTTTCTGATGTTCTGGAAACTTTGACTCTGTTACTGAATTGAGTTTCTGTTTTGTGGAATGAAAAGAAATAACAAGGACCTAATCTTGGAAATATAGAATAAGAGAAAATATTATTTGTTACTGAAATTTTCAAATTAACAAAGTCCTAATAGAATAGAAACACATGATGAATCAGCTATCGTTAATGTTGTAATCAAAAATTAAAAGATTACAGTAGTGTTGAAAAAACATTTATTGCATTATTTCTATTTTTTTTTTATAATCTAGTGAATTTTCTCTATGCTTTTTCTTTTCTGATTTTTTTTGTTGAATTAAATGTTTATTTTTTGACTAAAGTTTATATATGTTTGAAGTAGAAAGATCAAATAAAAATTTTTGAATTTTATGCATGACTTCATTACTGAAAGCTTGTAAATCTTAGTTAATTATTTTTCAAATCTCAAAAGTAGTTTTTACTTAAATTAAAATAAAATATCATATAGCTCTTTCATATCAGCTGCTTAAATGTACTACACAGTTTTATAATGAAATTACAGTAGAGCGTCGATTATCTGAATCAAATGGGGGACTGGGGTTGTTCAGAAGATCGATGTTTCGGATAACCGATTATGTACGAAAAAATATATTAATTTATCCCATCTTGACATTTTTCTCCGTTGCGTGTTGCTTCGCGTTGAATTTTCGTCAATGTTAAGCCTAACGAAGACTATTGTATCGTTAAAAATTATTTTTTAATTTTGTACAAACAAAATAAATATATTGAAAAATATAAAAACAATAAAAAATTATACTTCAGAAGNGAAAGAAATACAATATAAAAAGTTTGAAAAAACCTCGTTTTATATTGGTTTAAAAATTTAAAAACATGAAAGAAGGCGTGGCTTCAGAATTTCAACCAATAAGCATAGTAGAAAATTCAAATTTTATTAAGTTCGAAATTTGTTTTTCAAGGCTCACCAATAAATTTAATATCACTCCTTTATTGTTGCAGAAGCTTCTAAATTTAACAAATATATAAATGCAAATCATTTATATATTTACTTTTATTTAATTCATAAGCA